CGGCCCCGGTCCCGGTCCCGGTCCCGCGGGTCGCGTCGGGCGGTCCCGGGGGCAGGTCCGGCCATGGGGGACAGTGGGATACCTCCGCAGGTGGAGGAGCGGGGGACCAGCCCCCGGCAGCAAGGCACGGCCGTGAGGGATGTGTCCTTCCCTGACAGGGAGGGGGCGGGGGGCTTTTCGTGCGGGGGATTCCGCGGAACGGATGAGCTTCCTCCTTTGATTTTTTTTAAATTTCTTTTTTCTTTTTTTGGCATGGAAACTGGTCCCCGCCTCCGGCACGCAGAGCCGTTTGTCACCCGAGTGCGGGGCGGGGAGGAGGGAGAAGCGCCGTAGGAGCTGCTGATGCTTTTGCTGGATGGGTGGAGAGAAGGGGAGCGGGGATGTTAAAAATCAGTATATCTTTTTTTTTCTTTTTTTTTTTTTTTTCTTCATTAGCTCTTGACACGGTGAAAATGCCTCCAGCCCTTAAGCATTTCTCCATCCTTTTTTTACAAAACTCTAATCTGGGCTTTCAGAATATGTTGCTGGCGCCTATAAGGCTTTCACCTTTTAGCTTTGCTCGCACAAAATCACAATTTTAAACCGAATCCACTTTCCAGCAGGCATCGAATATCAGATGCATCACGGCAAAATGTAGCTCTGCAAGTTATGGGAGCTCAAACTCGACTCCCATTTTCTTGGTATGCTTCAATGGCTATTTAAATTAGACAAATGTTATGAATCCAAATGGACATAACATGCTGCAGAATTCAGCAATGGTTGAGTATTGCTACCAGAAGTATATTTCTTCTTTAAGGATATGTACCCTACAAAAATCTGCACAGACAGATAGCAGAATTTAAGGCATTGCAGTGCATAAAAATCAGGCATCTCATTTTCATTTGTTGTTCCACACAGACTGCTTCATGAGCCTTGGGGCACTGAAGTGTTTTAGTTTGGATCAGGGATGCACTTTTGAAGTAAATGCTGTCATCATCTCTGTTAACAGTGCTGTAATTCAGAGTGTGGAGTGCTGTTGGAGTGCACGAAATAGATCCCTTTTGTATAAAGCTAAACTAATGCATTCCAGCCACAAATGAGCACTGGGTGGGACTCAAACTGAACTAGTCAAACACCAGGAATCCTTGAGGTGAGTACAGCTTGAAGATCAGGCCCTCAGCACCAACGGTTGCACTCTACAGGTCTGTCAGACCTTGGTGCTAGCTAGTGTAGTTGAAGATTTGCAGCTTTGTAGTTCAGAAGGAAGGTCCCAGGAGGTTTCTAGTGTAACATCTGAAAGACCTGATTCTTGGTTCACAGCTGGCAGTCAACCGATACTTAAAAACTTTGATGGTTGAAAGTCTGCCAGAACTCCCAGTTCATGTATGGATCATCTCATATTCTTGTGTCAGGAGTACATCACATCATCCACAGCTATAAGGATAACTTGAACTGAAGTAAAAAATGTACTATCACTGCTGCTGTTTCAGATATTGTCTATGGCTTTTGTGGTCCTTATTAATCTCCCTACCCCTGCAACAGATTCCAGGATAGAGGGCAGTGGTGCTGCAAGTTTAAAATGAAGATAAATGACTGGGTAGTGGTTTAATAATTAAAAATAACTGAATTAACTTCTAATAACATATGTTAACAATGAAAACATCTTTTTTCTATCAATGCATCTTGTCATTTTAATATGAGGCACATATTGTAAGAAATGTAGCACACAGTTTTTGTAAGAAGGCATATAGAGAACCACTGTGGTAGCAAAATCAGATCTGAGATTTTTTCTTACAACATGCATGAAATTTCTTTTTCTTACAGTGCTTCTCACAAGGCAACCAGTTTCATGCACTAACATGATGTAGTTACTCCTTTTACTGAGATCTGTCTACTTTGAGAAGGTGCGTGTGAGAGAAATATGTTATTTGATAGATAAGATAAAATACTTTCTTATAAACTTTTATCTTGAGGAGCTTGACTACAGACAGCAGTCCATAATTTTACATGTCTGAAATCAAACATCATAGCTCATTTGTCTTCTAGGTTACTTCCATATTCTTCATTGTATTTTTTGCCCTGATCTTGTGGTTATAACAGACATGTTAGAATACAACAGATCTTTGTTTACTGTCTCCAAAAGTCTAAGGCTAATTAACTCAGTTTTAAAGATGGAATTTTCTAATGCGAACCCTTCAAATCAAATGTGATGTGGAGGCCAAACCCTTTTTTACTGACACATCTATTACAGAGATTTTTATTTATTTTTTTTTTGCAAGCTAGACTACATTCCACAAAGTCACTAAAACAAAATACAGGAAAAAATATGTTTTACGAGGTGAAGCGAGCATATATGACTGAATATAAATAAGCAGCAGGTTTCATTCCTGTTAAAAAAAGGAGAAACACTCAAGTTTGCCAAGAGACACCTAAGTGTTTTCTCCAAGAACTCCTAAAGGGATTGTGGAGTGATCAAGGCCAGAGACAAACACCTTAAGGCAGCAGTCAGATTGTCTTGACTTCCCTTTGCTGGCTCAATGTCAGGCTGGCCCTCCAGTGCATATCAGAGCAGTCTGATCTGTTCTGCTGGAAATGGCGAGAAGGGCCAAGTCCTACACGTGTTCTACTTCTCTGGAGCACCTGTGAGTCACCACAGCAGCCGGGTGCAAAGGCAGCTCCTGGTTTGGTGGCCAGCCAATGTCATACAGCCTGGAAGGAGAGACCTGCTTCCCACTGCATCCCGTATGCTCAGTGACACTAAGAGCCAAGTAGGAATAAGTTTGATGTAGGAATAAGTGGAAGTGAGAGACAAGAGGACATTGAGTAATGAGCATTAGTTTAGTGAGGTGTGAATGTATGTAAATGGGCCAAGATATTATCATGGCATTAGAAGAGCCTTTAAAAGGGCAAAAATCAATGGGAGTTTTTCTTAGCTGGAAAGTGCAGAAATTGGCACATGGATAGTAGCAGAATATTGGATTTTTCTTTCTTGCAATGACATTTTATTATATACAGAAGGAAGAAAAAACATTAAATAGTCAGTAGATATTGTTTCTTTCCTAAAGTCTTAAGAGAAAACAGTGTAACAACAGGGAGTGATGCTGGTTTTTTTATTGTTCTCTACAAACTGGTTGTTGCTTTCCTGGGAACCAAGCTCTCAGTTGAGCAATCAATACCTTCAAAATAATTTTATGGTGAATTTCCTATACAGTGTTGCACTTTTAATATATGCAATAGTCACAATTCTCAAGTGGCAGAGTCTGCACTGACATCCTTTTACAAAACTTTTCCTAAAACGTGTATTTTAAAATTTGTAATTTGCAAGTATTGCTCCTGATCATTTCATTTTGAAGATTAGGCCCACGATCAAAAATCCATGGCTTTATTCCTTCCTGCGCAATCATTTCTATGCAAGGACTACAAACCAATTCTTTCTTTATTTGGTGGGTGATGCAACCAAAATGGCAAGTGGATCACTCCACAAGATTTTCCTGGTATGGGTGGGGTGTGTGTGCCAGAAGGGATGATGGTTTTCTGCACATCCCTGTGACAGAAATAGAAGCAGCTCTGCCCAGCACTTCTAAGCCAGATGAAGTCCTTCCAAGCAGGAAAGTAACAGAAGAAATAGTACTTGGTCTTTAAGAAATAGTCTTACTGTCTTCTTTAACAATACTTGTTTAGGCTATGAAAAGTACCAGTTATCTAGAGCTTACCTACTCTCTCTGCCTCTTAGTTTAAAAATAGTTTTTCTGTGCTGCTTACCCACTTGATGTATTCTCCCCTATGCATTAAAACTGCCCTTTCTGCTGGCTTCCTAAACATACGTGGGTAGATCGCGAGATACACATTCTGCTTTTACAGAGGCAGGACTCAGCCTAATTATAACCTTCAGATCAGATTGTGACTGTTTTGACTTGCAGAAGCGAAGATGAATAACTGAGTTGTTGGCATTTAATTTCAGATATTCTGAACTCAGTCCACTTTTTACTGTAACTTATTGTACTTATGACAGTGCTAATACCTGAATAAAATGACCTATGTATGCAAGCAATCATTTACATTGTATTTTCCAACAAAGTAAATTGATTTTTAGCAAAGTTAAAAACACTGGCTGTTCTTTTGTAAATCTAAAATCAGTGTGTTTTTATTATTTCTCTATGACAAGAAAATAGTAGACAGAATAAAGTTAAAAAATATTTTACCAGACTGTAGTAATTTAGGCAATCTGACATCTCAAGAACTGTACATCTTTATTTCAATAATAATGACCAGTTGTGGTTAATGGATTTCATTCATCCTAATATCTCTTACTGTGTGTAATAGGCACATTCAGTGTGCACACAGGCAGCTTTGACCGTGACATATTTCATCCTTGAGCATAATTCATAGTTCTGTGTCAGCATTTGGTTGGAACAAGACGGGGATTGCATGATTGCAGGGTGGCTTTCTGCTGCAGTAGTCTGTGTGTAAAGCTCTTGAGGGCAATTCCTGGTTGTTTAGACCCTTCAATGCTACAGTTCTCACCTTCATCACAGAACAATGCTACTGACATATATCATCACAGACTTACACATCGCTTCGTTTTCCACCTATTTTTCCCCATGGAACTCTGGTATCGCTAGTAATGATGTCAGAATGAGTGTCCCTATGGTGTCCCTAGCAATGATGACAGATTAGGTAGGACAGCTCTCATATTTTTGTAATGATTATTTTCTTAAAATCAGTCCGATTTTGATAACATTTGTAGCTTTACATAAACAGTTTCCCAAAGCATGTCCCTTTTATTATATTTAAATAACTATACTATACTTTCCTTCGCTGTTTGATTTCTCCTGCTCGCTCCTTTCTCTCTTAGTTGCATTTAAACAATGTAACCATACCAGCAGTCTCCCACATTTGGGGGCTCTTTTGACTGAATTTTTAAGAGACAATGTTTCCATATAAAAGAAAACATAAAATTCTTTAAAACATAAAATTTGTTAATTGTCTTATTAAGCCAAGCCTCATGGAGAATCTCTGCTTCTACATTTAGTGTCTGTATACACAATCCAAAAACTTTATGTAATATATGAAATACTGCACCTAGGTTGATGTACCACTAAATGTAATCTCCAATTACATCAAAAATATAACTTTCTTTCAATGTATTTTTAGTAAGGGGAGAGATGTGTGTGTTTTTGTAGCCTGACATACAAAAGTTTATGTTCTAAAATCTGAATTTAAATATAGCAGAGAAAGAGGGGTTGGGCAACAGTATCAAGGCAGTTGAAATGTTACAATTATTATTTATTGTAACATGTATTATCATCACAATTTTTCTTAAAAAGAGTCTTATTATTGGAGAGAATTCCTATTTAAATGGATCATGTTTTCATACAAACACCAAATAAGAGGATCATTCTGTTTCATACATATGATAGACATTTGGCTAGATGTATCCAAATCTGTAGCATCATGGCAGAGGTGAACCTCAAACATAGGTTTTTGAGGAAAATACTGAACTGGCTTTCCTGGTGTTTATGAGGAACCCAGCAAGGACACATAAGAGCACACAGGAGATAACATGGATGTGCATTCCTGAATTTTTAACAAGCAGATAATATCTACCATCCTGGGTAGGGTGGATGTGAGAGTTTGAGAGATGATATAGTGGGGACAAAATGCAAATGGACTTCAAAATGAAGACAGTGTGTCCTGGTGCTGTAAAGAGGAGGGAACAAAGAGAGGGTTTTAGGACAGGAAGATTTAGAACTTGCCATCTCCCATAGTGATGATGAATTATTAAGGTAGTTCATGGCAAGGGTAAGAAAACAGATGTTGCAGCAATAAATGTGTGGTATAATGAAAATTTGGATGAGTTTTAAGTATGCATATAAATGCAAAAAGCCTTCTACTAGAAATGTTAGAAAAAAAAGTCTTGTTAGGATTTCAGCATAATTTGGCTATGAAAAAAAAGATGGAGGTGGAAAGTGCAGATAAATGGCAGGCTAGATATGATTTGTCATGGTGACTGCAAAGGAGATGCAACTAAAAGTGCTGTTTTAAACATATCATTCTTGGGGTCATGTCCCTGGAGAACAAATCTTAGCCAAATTTTCTGACGCTTTCCTTTGAATAAAAACAGTCAGATCTGAGTGAAGAGATGAATATTCAAAATAATAACTAAATCATCATAGGGTCATATTGTCATAAATGCTGGAGGTGGGTCTTAAAAAAAATGCCAAATAACATGAAGTGGCAATGGATAGATGCACAGAGAGAAAAACAACAACAAAGTAAAATCTTACAAACTTAAGAAGGACAAGGTTTCAGTGATGGATTATTATTTTTCAACTTCAGTTCAAAACCAGTAACAGTCAAAGGTAAAAGCAGATTATGTTTTGTCTAAGGGGAGAAACCTAGTTTGCAGAGGTTCTGGAATGAAACTGGAGAAGAGGTAAATCTAATGAGCTTGGAGATGGGAATGAGAAGCAGAGCAGTTTGTAGCTGGTGAGAAAAGGGGATCAGAAAAAGAATGTTTTTGGTGGGAGCGTGAGAACTGAAGGAGGAGTGAACAACAGTTTGCTCAGGATGGAAGAACTGAGGCAAATGGAGGAGTTGGAAAAGAGAAATTCTTAAGATGAGACATGGAAGAAGGAAAGGAGTTACAGAAAGGGAAATGATGGAAAGCAGATGTCTTCATGTAGAAGACATTGGTGAGATACCAATGTGGAGAGTGAAGGAGATGCAGGAGAAGAGTAAAAGGGAGGATGATTCAGGGTAGCTAAAAATCCTACTTAAGATGACAGATGTTCCCCAACTGGAGAATAGAGAATTACTTAACTAGGAAACAGGAAGAAATACAGAAGGACAAAAAAAGCTTGCAGTGGGGAAAAGGGGTGAAGAGAAGGAGGTAAAAAATTAACACAAATACTTGGGATAAAAGAGAAAGGAGACAAGAAATGTGGGGAAAAGAGAAGGGAGACAAATAACAAGAAGTGTTGATCATCTGAAAATTGTGAAAAGATTGACTGACAAGGTTTGAGGGAGAAGATGACCTCAAGTATGTGGGTGCAAGGTATATGATCATTGTTTAAAAGAGAGGAACACGGTGTCAGAGATTCAAAAATATGGCTGATGAAAATTAGTTCAAGGCTGTAAGCCTTGGTATAGGCTGAACTGAAAGAGGAATGAACACAGAAGGGAGAAATGGGACTCTTCAGCTAAGGGCTCATGTGAATTGATAAAGACTTACATGGAAGACAGTGAAAATAAAATAATGCCTTGAGCTGAAATCAAAAGAACAAGGCTGAAGATGGAGAGCAAACAGAAAGAAAATGATAGGGGAAAGTGAGAAGGGTCATATTTAATGTTGCTAACAGTCGAGAAAAAGGTGTAGCCTGGGAGGAGTATGGACAGGGAAAGAGCAAAAGTCCAGTGTGACTGCCATGAGATGTGTCAGGGAGGATAGAAATGAATGGAAAAGAGAAACTTCTGAAAGAGAGGGAAGATAAAAAAAGGACCCAGGACTTGGTGAGGGTGAAAGGAACGACATATGAAAAAGTCATGGATGACAGGGGTTTTTTACAGAGACAAAGAGAGTGGGAGGAAAGAAGGGTGTAGGTGTGAAATTTGAAGCTGTGAAACAAGACAGGTAGAAGCAGTAAGAAAGGAAGCTCTAGCATTAAGAGAAAATTTTCAAACTTGGACGGTGAAAATAATGATCCTAAATTCTCTTTCGCAATCTTAGTAAAAGTGGCTTTAAAGTAGAGTCCCTCAAAATATTTTTCTTTTTTCTTTCCAGACATCATCTGCAAATAGTTACTCAGATGTGTGGGCTTTTCTCTGGAGAGAGCAGCAGGAAATGAACCATGGATTCCTACTCTGTCATCTTCAGTGTGTTTATTAGGTGGTGGTGGAAAGGCTGATAGAAACTTTATTTAATAAAGTACCAGGTGATTCATTTAGCTGAGAGAAGGAAGAGATGTTAATAATGCCATTCCTAAACAAGTTTAGATCTTTCTGTTCCACCACATTTGGCAGGTGTGTTTGGATGATACATGTAACAATGCCTAATACAGACTTCAGTGTGAATGCAACCTAAATGGCTGAGATCAGGTTTATTTCAGCAGTCTGCACTGGAGGGCTCTGCTGCTTGATAATAGTGTTGGTTTCTGTCTTAGGGACTTTCCTGTTTCTGCAGCTGCTTCCGCTTTGTTTGGAAGTGGATACTTTTTGTTCTTTTATTTTTTCCCCTGGAGGTGGGCCTTACTGTGCTTCTGTCACCTGGAGTTTGGGTTTCTGCAGAGAACAGTCCATAAGACTAAACCCAGAGATCAAAAGGGAGCTTCCCTGTGTGAGCACAGAACACCCACTGGCTGAGTGTGTTCCTCCTAGTGTTCCTGGCAGGCAGCTTTGGCTCCTGTGAAATTCAAAGTGTGTGTTTTTACATGCAAAGCTTTGGGACGGGATCCATCTTGCTCGAATACACCGCTTAGTCCTTGTAATAGCTCAGCAGCTGGGGCTCCTCGGGTGAGGGGGTTCTGCTCTCGCCTGTCCTGGGGAAAGGTCTGCTGGTCTCCTATCTTGTGTGCTGACCATGGTGCTCCTCACCAGCATTAGTATTTCAGTCATAATGTCCACAAAAAAGCCCGTTTCCATGAGAAGCTTTCTCCTTCCTGTTTTTGAGAAGGGATTTTGTTGTTAGGCCTGGGGAGCTGCAGCAGACTGTGATTCTGATTTGTTTTCTAGGAATGACTAAGAGAGGAGGGGTTTGTACGCTCTGACTAAATTCTGATGACTCTGTTAGCAACCACATTTCTTTAACTGTACGTGAGCTTGCTGAAAGTATGTTTTTAATCTTGTAAAACCCTCCTCAGTTTCTGATGTCACTTGTCACATACATAATGTTAATTTCCATTTTTAACTTCAATCCTTCTGTGTTTGGCATACAGGATTTTCCAGGAATATTTTCAAATGGATTTTCTCAACTTAGTAAACCTTTAGTAAAGTAAAACTTTAATATATTTTCATTGTTGGCTAATGTCTGAAGATTTCTTGTTTTGAGTAAAACCCCTTGACCCTAGTTAAAACCAACATTTTGTTTTACTATGTAAGCATCTTTAAAGTGAAATACATTAAATTAAAAAAAAAAATCAAGATAAATAAATAAATTAGTATGGTGGAGATTTTGCTTTCAAGTTATAGCAAAGAATGCAGAGAAAAAAGTTCAAGTCTTGATCAGAATAATGAATATGTGGGATTAACAACTTGGTTGGAAGCTACATCAGAAAAAATGGTGGTTATTTGAATCCTCAGAGGCAAAATGAATGAATCACACAGCAGCTGATTTTGGTTGAGAATGACAGTTGTCCCAGATTAGCTTCCCTGATATTATTTTAACAGCATCCAACCACGACAGTGAATAGTTTCTTGTGTTTGGTCCCCAACCAGGAAAAAAATCTGGATGTGCAGCTTGATACTCCCTGTTGAAAATCTGAAAACATAAGGCTGCAGTTCTCCATTGTGGACCACTCCCTGGTGAAACTAATATTCTTTTCTCCAAAACTGTGTTGGAACTAGTTATCCTGTACTGCAGTGACATCTACTGAAGAAAAGCAAAAAAAGTCTTGGGAAAGCAGTATTTGCCTCTCTAAAACATAATACAAACACCAGGGATTTAATATATTATTGAATACTGAGAGGTTTAATATTTTTCCCTTTGTCAAATTCAGAACTATTATTATCTGTTTCTTATGAAGCACCCATTGCCACTATGTTCCCAGACTTTAAACACATACTTAACTAATGTATTCTGTGACCTGTTTCGTATGCAAATACGTAATTCCTGAAAGACTGCGGTTTAGTTTTAGTTCATTCTCCACTTGAGAATGGATGTAAAGGGATTTTTTTTTTCTCACTGAAGGAAGGGAGAGATTAAAATTTAAGGGGCTGGCAAGCATAAATATTGTTCAGACAGAGCTGTGTGCTCTGTGCCACAGTGGGTGGAAAGGACAAGAGAATTGTCGCTTCTGCTGCTAAGGTGAACTGCTTGTATTTTCATTACCTTTAGGTAGAGCACATTTGAATATGTGCTTTCTTTATGCCCTCCTCTTGCCAGCAAGCACTGTTTTATACTGGAAATGAACTACTGAACTGCAGAACACTAATGGATTGCATTATGTACAGCTGCTTGTAGGGAAGATCTGCCCCATTTGCTGGCAAAGCTTTGTGGTCTGTAGCTGCCTCATCCAGATACTTCCATCTCTTTCTTCCAGGGAACTGGATTATGGGATCTAATCTTATTGCCATTGGCAGCAGGGTATGTAGGTCGCTGGATGAGGAGGAAAATGGGATTCATGCCTGCACTTCCATCCCTCTGAAGCAAACATCTTGTCCTTTAAGTTGCAAGATCCTCCTTGAAGGGATACTGCCAAGCAGAAGAAATCCCACCACTGTATGCACGTGCCAAACTATCAATAACCCAGGGGAAAAAAAAACCCCAAAACATAATGTAGCTGCAAAATACTGTTTGATTGAGATTACTGTTGTTTAAAAAAGATCTTGAAATACCAGTGGGAAGGGTTTATGGTTCTGCTCCCTTCTGCATTTTTTTTCTGGTCTTCTATCATGCAACACTTACAGCCTATAATTAAAACAGCTTGCTGCTATTTGCATTTTCATGAAAGGAGCCTTTTCTAGCATACCACTCTTAAATATCCTATTTGATATCGAGTGAAATTAATTTAATTTCAAGGCTTTACTCTTTGCAGATCATTTAACTCTTAATGGCTTTTCATCCTAAATCTATCTCTGCTTCTGTCTGAGCATATGTGTCTCCCTCCTCATCTCTCTCTCTCTTCCTCATTATTTGTTCACCTTTAAACCATTCCAAAGCTATTGGAAAGACAGATTGCAAAGACAGAAGCCTGGATTTTGCTATTATGCTCTACAACTCTGGCATGAGCTCCTACACATTCCTATCAGAATTATTTCTGGAACAGAAAACCCAGCGAGGGAAAAAATGAGCTCTAGGCTGCTTATTAGTTAAATAATTCTGTATGGGACTATTTGCTGATGGGCATCATATTTATGTATTTAGCTGAACAGTCAAAGAATAGTGCTTTGCATAATATTCTTGGAAGTGCTTAACTTAAGGACATACATAAAATTAAAATACAGTTTATATGCTCAGTTCTAGGTACTTTGTGTAAGGCATCCCTTAGAAAAGTAATAGCTAGCAGCAAAGCATGTCTAGCAAGTGGAATTTTCTGTTGATTCTCTCATTCCCTTCCCTATCTTTCCTTTTCCTGACAGAAACAGATGGAATTTTATTTTCTCACAATTACTATGAACTGAGACTAACAGCTCCTAAATTAGCAGTGAGGGGGTGGAAAGGTGTGGAAAGCAAGAAAAACATGTAAACCCTCTGTAACAGTCTGAATAGTGAAATGTGGAAATAAATCTTGTCAATCAGTAAACCATAACTGCCCTGTGGCTTGTGGATTACAACCAATACATGCAATGATCCATCAGTCCTTTATATAATCTGTGTATATTAAATAATTAAAAAATTGTGTTGATTAGACCTTTCAAACATCTATGCAAAATAGGAGGACTGACATTTCATTTACCTACTGATAAAGTCTGCAAAGGATTTTTTTTTCAGCTTTGAAGTTGTTTAAGCATGGAAGCCTTTGACTTCCTGACAACATTTCCTTTAGGTCCTTTTTTGCCCCATTTAGTCTTTTTTTTTGTGTTTTCTCTCTTCCAAAATTTGGTATTTTCTTTTTGTGACTGTTACCTTATTGTTTTAAATTGTAGTATTTAATCATGAGAGAGGGAACAATGATAATAAGCTCAGTTTAAAACAGTTATCACATGGACATCTTCTAAGAAAGCAGCCACTTGACTTTCTTGTAGGCTTGTTGTGGAATGGGTCTGGGTATACTGCAGGTACTGGCCACAATATGATTGTCTGACACATGCCCCAGGAATCACACAGGGACTTCCTGCAACACAGCTATGTTTAATTTTGAAAAAGAAGACTTTCTATATTGAACAGATTAAATCACTTATCCTCTAAGCAGGCTATATGAAAAGATGAGGAAATTAACATTCAGAGAGGTAGAAGCTGCTGAGACATAATTTTCTAAATCTTGACTGAGGTGTGCAGGAGGAAGGTCTGATGCAATGCTCAGTTTTGTTCCTGATGAGGATCTCATGGTGGAAAATGCACATCACCTGAGCTGCAGTGAGGGTTCCTCTTCAGCACAAACAAGGTGGGGATATCCTTTTAGGCAAAGAGAAGTAAAGGAAGAAATTCTCTGTGAGGGAAAGAAAAGAGCTACTGGTGAGTTCTGTTTCAAGCTCAGTTTTGTCTTTGCTACAGAACCAAGATTATGCTGGTCCTGAGTACTGGTTGTGGGCTGCTCTAAGGTCAGTAAATTCATTAGGGTATGATGGGCTTTGCCATACTGATATTACTGATATGATACTGATAGTAGTATCAGTTAGTTCAAGAGCAGGAGGTCACTACATTCTTGGTAATATTTGTATTGACCATAACCCTTTCTAGAATTTATTAACAATGTCAGTTGATGAGGATTGCCGCCTCTGGTCCGACATATGTGTATCCCTTCTACTTTGCTCCCACACATGCATGATTGAGGCTCTCTAACATTTAGCTTAGGCAGCTGTATGAAACAATAGCCCAGAGGCTGTCAGTGATTCCTTCCTATCACTGAGGAAGCTGAAATACAGAGGTTGCTCCTGGTTACACCCCTGCAACTTAAGCAGAGCTTCCATGAAGATGACTGTGATGCATAGGATGAAAGATGTTCACTACACTAAAATTATTCAGCTACATATTTTCTGCCAAGTAGACCCTGAAAGTTCTGGGAGAAATGCCAAAGCGATGCTGGTAGATGAATGCTTCTGAGCCATCATGTCCTTGACTGCAGGAAGACAGAGATGTTCGATTGGGATTTTTTATAAAGTTACCCTCTCTTTGTTTTGCTTTTCTTTGTACAGAGTCATGTAAAATACCAGCTAAAAAATCGCATACTCATTTGATGATGCCCTTCTAATGGAAAACCATAAGTTAGATATGGCTTTTAGCTATACAGTTTCCACAGATTATTTTTTTTTTGTTACCTCCTACCAGTATCATATGCATTTTCCTGGGTTTTCTGGGTTTGCACTGTTTTGCTGATTCACTGCATATAGCACACTGAAAATTCTTAGTAATCTTGGAAACACTATCAGCCTGATTCAAATTCCTTATATCGTGTGCTCATTTCATGGAAGGTCCAGCCTCACTCTCCCTCAGCATATATATCAGGGAAAGACTTAACTTAAGTCAGATCTAAAACCTCCTTCTTGAGAATTTGTTTAACAGGATTCTTCACTACATGTTGTCTTGTATTTTGGACTTTTTTACCTGTGCCTAAATGCAGTGGCTTTCAACATTTCTGCCATAGTGGCTCATTCATACAGATCTTGCCTCTGAAATATGGTTTGTTTAGTTCACTGAACTATTTTTCTTTACCTAAAAAAAATTTAAAAATTACTTTCATAGCTATATCATGATTGTTTTAATTACATTCTTTGCTCCTGCTAATTTTTCATGAGGTTGAAGTGTTTCTAGATAACAATGTATGTTTACTAAGCCCTTAAG